GGAGAATTAAAAAAAAACAATGCACAGAACACCTTTTCACTAGTGAGTCCCATGGAGGTCTGCAGCTCTGTGCAAGCCTCTGAGCAGGCACTGGCAAGTCCCTAGAGGGTACAAAGACAGCACAGCATCCAACCCTCTGCAAGTGCTGAACACAGCACAAGGCACTCTCCAAAACCCAGCTGCTCTATTTTCTCCTTTTGAAACATTTCTGCTACTGGGAATGTGATGATATCAGTGATTCTCTAGAAACTGGGCAGTTTTCATGAACTAGGGGACAATAAAAAATTTCTGGAGGTATTGTTCCCTGAGGGGGAAAAAAAAAAACAAAAAAAAAACCCCAACCCCCAAAACAAAACAAAACAAAAAAACCCAACCCAAAACCAGGTGGCTCACAGAGGAAAAAAAATTAAAAACGACAGTAAGACCCCCAGCCCAGGGAGGAAACTCTCTCACATCCATATAGTACTGCTCCAAACAAGAGATCAAGGAACAAGAGAGGTAACACAGGTAGGGGGCACTCACAGTGAAGTTTTCATTCTGCCATTTCTTTTCCAGCATCATAATTAAATTAATCAAAACATGAATTATAGCTCCTATGCTATGCTTCATTCTGAAGTTGAGGAAGATTCACTTGCCATCAGATATCCAGTTTGGCAGCCACCTTCAGTAACCATCAGCTTATAAAATATCGTGCTCACGGTAGCACTGCTGCTGTTTCACCAACCACATGCCCAGCAGGATGATGCCACCATGACAGCGTTCACTGCATGGTCCAGACCTTTTACCTTTCTCCAACCCATCAGCACATGAACACTTCAGCAGCTGATGAAAAGCCTTGCTGCAGCCCTTTGAAAGAGATATATAGTACATAGTAAGACGCCCAATATCATAGTATCATCAGGAAGAGTTCAACTGAAGACGCTTGAGCTGTTGACCCCTCCTGCAGACTCAAGAGAGTTGAGCAGTGTCCTGGGCTGACAAGACACGTGCAGCAGCCGACTGAAACACTAGCAAGCGCACCCTGTACACAGTCTATCTCACAGAATAACCTGCCCATGCACTGGGGAGCTCTACTTGGTAAACTTGCATCCATGTTGCTTTTCCAGACTGATAGGTGTAGAGGACAAAGAGCAGTTTGCAGCTCTTGAGTTTGTGGAGACCCATAGCTATCAGCGTACTCAGTTGCCAAGTCTATGTCTAGGACTGGCTTGCCTTAATCATATGGATTTAATCTAGATCAGATAAAAATCTCAGGTAAAATGCAAATGCGCCTTTACATTATGCTCAGACGATAGAGATGGAAATAATGCAAGGTCCACTACACCACCACTTCTATGTTTCAGTAACGTGCAACAAGAATCCTTTTCCATGAAGAACATGATGTATTAACAGCAATTGTGCTTCAGGCAATGTCAGTCAATGTTTCGAATTGTCATGTACCATTTCCCCAGGCTATGAGAGGAAGAGTCCTAAAATGACCACCGTGACGTAGCAAACGTCAAGCATCCAGGCTATGGGAAAAAATCCTATTCTGCCTAACCCTAGCAAGGAGACAGCTTCATTCAGAACCAATAACCTCCTGCAGAGTCCAGTCCAGCTATCTGAGATGTCTTCTACCAAGCAAAAAATACCAATTACTCCTCATCATTTCCAGTAATAAATCTCCTGCCTCCTTTAGCTGAGAAAGGAAAAAACAACAGGCCTCAGAAACATAATGCTTCAGGCAGTAACAAGCTAGTTTTTCAAGGGCAAAAATTATAAGGTCTCCAGAACTGAAGAACCTTGTTTTGTAGAAAAGCAAATGCAAATAAAATGACATAAAACCACATGAACCACATCTCCAGTCTAGGTCCTTCCTTCTGCCCTTCTCTAGCTATCCCTCCCTGCCTGCCTGCCTTCCCCCCATCCATTACCAACCCCCAATTCTCTGAAACACCCTTTGAAGTTCTACAGCCTTAATTTATATTCAGGAGCTTTTACTCATTGCTGTGCTCAAATGACTCCAGCAAACTGCACGTGCAGGTCACATGCAGCTTTGAAGGTTAAAACCAGGATTCCCCAGTCCATCTGAACCAGTGTCTGTAAATGCAGCTGACAAAAAAGCATGAGAAATAGAAAACAGAAGGATAGGTAAACTGGATCATTCTGTTTTAAGATTACAAACTTCTGATCATGTATTTCTGGAACAGTCAGGATTCCTGCAGATTGCAAAATAAATTTCCTTACAGGGCTGCAAAAATCAATCTAAGGATAGAATTATGGAGCTGAAACTGATTATTGTTTTAACTTCTAAAAGCTGCTAAGCTTAATTTTTGTAACGCTACTAAGTAGTCATTAAATGTGTTTTAATTTAGATTATCAGCATCATTTCTTACATAATCATTGATATGCTCATACTCATAACTAAGTTACCACACTTACTAACAAAAATGCTGACAACCTGGAACAGTGCCAAAAGCCTTTTTAGTTACCTTCAAAACAAAGGAAATAATGTTAAGATGTGATTATTCATCATAACAAAAATAAAATTACTCCCTATACTGCATTTTGCAAGACATCGGATCTTATAATCTGTCATTTTTCAAAGCTGGAAAACTGATTACCTTTTCATTTTTACAGAAAAAAAAAGTAAGTTTTGTTTTATTGTTGATAAATATTTGGAGAGAGTACTTACAATGCAGTGTCACAAAAAAGGGGTTCTTGTTTACATTGGGATTATCCTCAGTAAAATTTTCACTCAACAGCACAGTTGAAAATACCACCTTCCTACACAGGAGGTGGGCAGCAGCTTGTTAATGAGAAACTTTCTGCAGCACCTTCAAGACTTTGCAGCATTTGCCTGGTTACATTTTATATGCTTTTAATATTTGCAATAATTAAAAGATGAATAAAATCCCAGAAGAATGAAAATAATTTAAAATTAGGATATATTTTTATTTGATTAAAACATCTTACACTGTTAAGTGCAGTTAAAAAGATTGAGACTGATCTCTTACCCAAACAGGACAGTCGTGTACCATCAGTCTGACATTTCCAAACACGCAGGCTTGATACTCGGTAAAAACTGGGTTTCCAACGTGACTGGCAGACAAGCTGCTGTCGATCTGGGAAATGAGAGCACTTCTCCCAAGATAGCTCCAGATCAGGCTCGGCTGCTGATTGTCCTCAGAAAGCCCATCTCTTTCATTCCCAAAGGCTGCAATATTAACCGACCTAAAATAAAAATAATGAAGACAAAGCTGTGTTAACAAAGATGAAGGGCAGGGATAAGAGAAAAAAAATCCCCTTAAATCAAAACTAACATATTAATCCTTCCAAATCCTCTTCCCTCCCTAGATTTTAACACCGCCTGTAATCAACAGCAAAATCACATACATGATCTCAAATCCAACAGCAGGATGAGAGCAAAGCAGAAAAGAAACCTGGAAACGCTGCTTGCATTACAAACCCCCAGCTGGCTTGGCTTTTTATATGTCCAAACTCATCCTCGCTGCTGTGACCTCCGGGGCTCCTGCTGCATTCCCTCGCCTGTGGCCAGCGTGGCTAACTTGGTGCCGGCTGCTCCAGGCAATGGATTGCAGCCGCACGCCAGAGCTGCAGCAACAACAGCAACAGCAGCAGTAGCAGCAGTGGCAGCAGCAGCCCAGGCACTGGTGGCTGCTTTACTCAGCAGCTGTAGGTGAACTGAAGGCGTAAGGCATGCAGCTGGCCGCTCGGTCACGGCCATCGCATCCTGACGTCAGTAAGCAGGAGCACAGCACACGCAATGGGCAGAGCGAGCTGACGTTTCTGCAGAGCCAACACGATGCAGCCAGGTCAGCAAAGGCAGACAAAGGCGCTCGAGCAGAGTTTGCAGGGCACGCTTCTGCTGCAGCCCTGCAGAAAAAAGAACAAGATCATGACACCAGGTCGCTGCCACAGCTCATCTGCACCAGAGGAGAGCCCAGCACCAAGGGACCGTCACAGCTGAAGGAGAGCAGTGGACCAAATCCTCTGTTAAAGTACTATTTTAAGCAAATAGTATCTATTTTTTCAATATTAGGCTGATAATTTCTTAAATGCCCATGTAGATTTTTTTAGTGTTTATGTGCTGCTTAAAATGCAGTTTTCAAAAAGGATGATCTCTAATTATAATAAAATAAACACAAATACCTGGAAACAAGTCCATCCTGAAATGGCATGTTATCTGTCAGATACCATTATACACATGAGAGTAAAAAACCAGAGTAAAAATATTTTAGGCACATTTCATGATAAACAAATACCCTCTATTATGTGAACATATGCTGCTGTTAATCCCACAGGCAAGAACTCATTCAACACTGGTCTTGATACGATTATCCACAGAATAATTAACAGACCTTTGCCTGCAACAGCCCATACTCTGAGAAAGGTACTGTTCCACTATTGGCAAATGTGGGAGATGACAACTGATGCACTGCCAAAGTTTTATACCAATGTTGTATTGACTGGCCAGGCCATTTTTAAAAATCATAAGCATTGCTAGCTGTTGTATGCTAATGAAGTCAGGTATTACCTTTTATATTTTTATTTTTAATTCTATGGAGCCCACTGGAAAATAAAACCAAAACCAAACATAAAACAAACAAACAAAACCAACAGAAAAATTCACCAACATTTTTGTTTCCCCATATTTTATCACATTCCAGTTTCTTCTGCTTTTTGATCTCGTTTTGCTTAGAAAAATAAGACAAATGACAGACGGGGGTTTTGGTGTGCCACCCCCCCCCCCAAGAAAAAGTTTCAATCCATGTTTCTTAAGTGAATTAAAAAAATATAGACAAACAAAGCAAGCCACTGTTTTTTTTCCCCAGATGATGCCCAGACTGTAATGTATCATCCTCCACATCCAAATCCTCAGTAGCGTCCAAACACTGGGTATATGAAGTTCATTTCATGAGAGCCAACATTTTTTTTTTCTTTCAACCATGTCTATTAATGTACTTTTTAAAGGGCACTGAATATCCCTTGGAAATCTTGAATTTGAACTTGTAGTTGTCTAGATGTTGAAAATGAGGAAACCTTTGAGAGAAAAGGTTTTTTACAACACTAGTGAACAAAACCTAGCGTAAATACATACATACACACACACTTGCGCACACACAAATATATATACTCACACGTACATACATATATATTTACCCACATATATATATTACATACATTTACATATATTTTTTATATATATGTACACGCATGCATGCGCACACATAGTTGTAACAACAGGAAAAACTGGGCTGGTAAATCTGGCAGCCCTAGTGAGAAATGACCCAATTAACCCAAACTCCAATTAACATAACTTAGTTATTCCTGTGGACCTAGCCCCGCCCAAGGGTGCAAAGGGCAGAGGTACCAGCAGAGATGGAGGGTTGCAGAAAACACTTGTTTTCCTCTCACTCCTTCTTTGAACCACCTGGGAAACTAATTAGGACTGCAAGAAACATTAATTCTGGCAAATTATGCAGATGGTGGATGTGGGATTCATCTCACCTGATGAAGAGAACTTGAAGCTTACAGCACTAAAATACCGTACTGTTTTAGTAACACTTCAGCAATCAGAAGATTTAAAACAACATTTGAAAAGCAAGCTTTAAAATTAGATGAACATGCTGTCTGTTATTCTGTGAAAGTAGGTCCATAACCCCATTTTCATCTGCATTGCTGAGGGACTGTGTAATACATTTCAAACAAACAAAAAAACAGAAAAGGAAATGAGTTCACTTCTGCAGGGTAATAAACATCACGAACGGAGAAGTTGCTTGGTGCCGCTACCTCAGATGCATTCTGCAAGTTATGTGGGCACTGCAAGGGAAAGCCATAAAAGATTGTTTAACTGAGAGAAGAGGATTATAGAGGATTGCTTGACTGTTCCTTGTTTGGCAATCTGGAAGTTGAATATCTTATGATCAGCAAACATTTCAGCAGCAGGCATTTGCCATTGCTGCTGACATACAATGACAAAACTGCAGAAAAGGGAGTCTTTGACAGGGTTCAGAAAACAATGGCATATTTGGTCTTCTGCGTTTTACGCAGGAACATTATTATCTTGTTTCAAATTATTTGTGTTGAAGCTTTCCAGCAAGTATCTTAGATAAAGCAATGAATACAAATACGCAGTCTTTGCTGACAAAAGAGTAATGACATTTTCCATGGCAAGGAGAAGACTGCAGCCAAGTCACAGAGGAGGATTTTTTTCCTTGTGGATGCTGTAGCCTTACTTGCACTGAATCGCATATTGGACACAATATCACAAAGGGGACAACATTTTCAGGGCAGTGAGGGGACCTAATGCACTTGAATTCAAAGTTGTTGCTAAGCCCACTCGTTAGCTGAGCCTGCACACCGCACAGAGCTGCTGCTGATGTTATGAGCAGCTTTAGGTGTATGAGAAACTATGTTGTTCTAGGAAAGGTAAATTTCCATTTTTTTTTTCAAAGATAGAAGGTGGGTCCAGATAACACATTTTGGTGAATAGAGGTGTTTCCTCCTAATGTTGCAAAACATAACTTGTGATAAGCTTGACTTTATTGGGGCTCATCCACACTACAGAGATTGCTGCTGCAAGATCTGCTAGCCGAGGCCTCCCACATGGACAAAGCATGAGCAAACAAAAGCAGTTTTTATGTTGTTGCAGCCATCTGCCACATTCAAACCAACAAAAGCAGCCTGTGGGTGGGAAAGTGAGGAATGAATGGCAGGACAGAGTTACGGACCACTAATATTTTTCCATATAACTATGCCAGAAAAATAGTGTAGGGCTGATCAGGTTTGGAAGAAAGTTTGGGTTTTTTTCCCCGCAGGAATAATTGAGCCAATTTTAGAGACGGCACAGGCACTCACTGCCAGACATTACTGTCCCTGCAGCCTAACACATTTCACTGCTGACTGCTTCCCAGAGGTCACTGATAGAGACATCAAGGAAAAGCACCACAGATCCCAAGGATTTTGTACTGAGTTGTGGAATTGCCATCCTTGGAGGCATTCAAGCTTTCACTGGAAAAGTCCTTGTGCAATCTGAGCTTATTAGACATGCTTGGAGTGGAGGGTGGGTTAGATGACCTCCAGAGGTCCCTTCCGACCTGAATTATTCCCTGACTCCACGAATCCCCTCCCTCCTGGAAGTGACTGCTAGGCCCTGTCCTTCACTTCCTTTTCTTACACCAGCTTTTAACCCAAAACCCAACCTCCCGTCCAATCTTGTGGCAACATAGTTTCGTTACAAAGTTTAATAAGCTTTAGAAAAAGCTTCTCAAAGGCTTTTTGAAAATGCAAGAGGATTATTATGCCCACACGACCCCCTTTATCAGCATACTTACCGCCCTTCCTCCAAATGCCAGTGATGCAGGACTTCACTGGAGCTTCTCCAACACCCTCCCAACAGACCGTGTTCACCTGTGTGTCCCTTGATCTCATTCTCTATCACAGACTGTGCCATCTCACCAGGAACAGCAGCCAGCCCCGTTGCTTTGGCATTCCCCAGGCCCCGCTAAAGCAGTTTTCGAACCTACTGGCAGCCTCCAATGGCACCTCCAATGATAGACAGACCCCAGACCCAGTTCTGTGGTTTCTCATCTGAGTTTCTGAGGAACACCCTCATAAACATTATCCACTCCTGGGTACTTATTAACTTCTACTTTTTCTAGTTTTACTGTATCAGATCAAGTAACATAATATCAGCCCAATATTGAATCAAAAGTATGAAGGGGGTGGAAACAGATCTGATGGGAGGAGAAGGAGAAAGGAAAATGACACTTTTTCAATGTAAACCAGATCCAGTTTGTAGCAGAACAGAGCTGTGAAAGCAACTACTGAGTTGTGGAAAGCTGCTAACACAGTGAGGGTGAGCCATGCATTACCAGCTCTGCTGCTGCAAAAGTCCAGTGGAAGGACTGCCCTCCAAGCTTGCTGCCTTCGGCAGTGAGGGAATGAGTCCCCGTATCACAGGCAGGGGACCCATCTGCTGCCTAGATGCCTCAACCTGCTGCAGAGACGAATGTCTGAAACAACACTACATGCTGCAGAAGAAGACACCCTGTTCACAGTGGGAAGAGTTCCCAGCTTGTCGTGGTTTATCCCCAGCCAGCAACTCAGCTCACGCAGCCGCTCGCTCACTCCCCCTACCCTGATGGGATCGGGGAGAGAATCGGAGGAGTAAGAGTGAGAAACACTCCTGGGTTGAGATAAGAACAGCTTAATAATTGAAATAAAGTAAAATAGTAATGATAATAATAACAATAGAATAATGATAATAACAATAACAATATACAAAGCAAGTCATGCACAATGCAATTGCTCACCACCCGCTGACTGATACCCAGACAGTTCCTGAGCAGCGATCGCTGCTCCCCAGCCAACCCCCCCCAGTTTCTATACTGAGCATGATGTCATATGGTATGGAACAGCCCTTTGGCCAGTTTGGATCAACTCTCCTGGCTGTGCCCCCTCCCAGTTTCTTGTGTACCTGGCAGAGCACGGGAAGCTGAAAAGTCCTTGACTAGCATAAGCAGTACTTAGCAACAACTAAAAACATCAGTGTGTTATCAACATTCTTCTCCTACTAAATCCAAACCACAGCACTATGCCTGCTACTAGGAAGAAAATTAACTCTATCCCAGCCGAAACCAGGACACAGCTGTAGACGTATAGCTGCCCTATGTAATTCTCATGTTGTTGTTTAACAAGATTTATTAATTTCTTTAGCACGCAGGTCAAAGGATCAAAAAAGTACTTTATATGTTATTTCTGCTGGTTTAGAAACAGTTTAGAAACATCACCTCGAGGTGGACATGGACCATCACGTCATGCAGAGGTGCACCACCCCCAGCCTGCACTTCCAGGACAGCCTGCTATGGTTCTCCTTGCTGAGCCTTATTGGCTGGGCCTGGTACTGAGACTGAGCTATGGGGAGAGGTGGGCATGGAGCAAGCACCAAGGGGAATGGGGAAGGGGCAGGGGCTCCCTACCAAAGTAGTGGGGAAGGTCTCTTCTGGGGTGGCCCCGCCAGACGTACTGATCAAACTGCTCCACAGGTCTCTGCTGCCTGGGTGGCCCCTTCCATGAGGTGCTTGGAGAGGCATGGGACCACCTTGGCAGGAGATGCTGCTGTAGTCTGGGAGCAGGGAAGGGATGGCATATGATCAGCATGTTTCAAAAGTTCTGGGCTATTTCAATCCACTATATGATCCCCTGGGTAACTGCTTAAGACTGAGTGACCCAGTGCATCAATTCTACAGGGAGAAGTGCCTCAAAATGACTTAACGTGATCCTGCAGAAGCTCTGCCCTTTGCCGGCCCACAGTTTTGTTCAGTAATGTATAAAGTTTATAGTTTTTCTTACTAAAAACATATTACAGGGGTGCAGATAGTATTCATTACATCGGGTAAATGAAAATGATCTCATAATGTCAGCTAAACATGTGAGTTAATGTGCATTTTAAGAAGAGAAAATTAAAGAACAAAGATTATATCTAGATATGCAAATAACTACCCTGTAGTATATGCATAACAAAAACCGTTATTCACCTATCAAAGTTGTAAGTTCTCAACGAGTCATAAATAAAACTTCACTGGGAGTAAGTTTCTGTTTAAAGTTACCTTCTAACTCTTTTTATACAACTGCACTTCTCCAGAATTAAAAGACAGAGCAGATTGTTAATTAGCTTTCCTTATACAGGTGTTGAACATCTTCCAAGTGGTATTTGGATGGCCATTTAATCTTTGAAAAATTGTTTTCATTTCCAAAAATCCAAAGATCCAGTTCAGATCTGTGCTTTCAATCAGCTGTTTGTTTATTTATTTATTTATCTATCTTATTTCTGCTTTCTTATTTTTCCTGCTGTTATGATTTTATAGCTATTTAATGCTCCTTCCAGTTCTCACTAGTTCTCAGCCTCCTCTGCTGTTCATATGCCTCTAACGACAGAAGTATGTATCAAGGCAGCAAGAGAGAGGATGATCCGTGTGTGGAAACTGAATGTTTTTCATGGATTTGAATGTTGTCCTTACTGCATTCACTGTAATAGAAAATCCCTTCATTTTAGTCTTATAGCTTCTTACATTCTTCTGCACTCTTATATTACTTATTGCAAAACTGGAGCACGCTCTCAAGAGGTATTTGGCTGCTCAGGAG